GTTTCTTTAGAAAAAGTCATTCCTCTCAGTAATGATTTATATTTGACTGTGTTTGAGATCCAATCATAATTAAAAACCTGGAGTGCTTGGTATGATCTGTTATAGAAATAACCAGCCAGCACACACAGTGGTTGTTCTGCCAGCTGAGAGCTATTTTCCTGATATTTTCTTTTCTCTCTCAGGGAGCAGTGGTTTAATTTATGGCTTCTAGGGCCAGAGAGTGGAATTTATAGCAAAAAGATAAAAGAAGGGTATGAAAAAAAAGACCTAAGTCCCTTACTCCCCTTCTCCCTTATCTCCTTCTGGATGTCAGCCTTGTTTCTCAGCACACTAAATTCAGAAATTATAAACCTAAAGAGGTTATACTCATATTAGAACTTTCCATAGCCAAATACTATTTTGCAGAGCAGAAGTGTAATTAGCTTTGCTTGTAATTTTTACAATGTCTCGTGTGTTAGGTTTTAGGTCAGTGAGTGTGCCAGGCAGGCAGAGATTGGGCTGAATATCCTATGCCAGAACAGCCAAAATCAATAGAGGTTTTAGAGAGGGAGTTTCATTAGTTCCTTCTAATTTGAACCTATTTTAATATGCATCCAAGCGAGGAGCATCTTCCTAACAGTCTCTGATGCATGTTGGTGTTTTCAGCTGTGATGGATTACCATTTAGTTGTAGCTGAAAACATACTGGCTGAATCAGACCTTAGAGGTGGGTGGTGCATGCACACTGACCCAGAGTTTTCACCTTAATTGGATAAACAAATTGAGTACAAGGCTTAATAGATTTATGGAAGCTGTAATAGTAGTGGTGTGGTGCTCAGCAGTGTTTCTATCATCTTGCTGGTTTGGGAGATGATGCTTAAAAGTATTAGGAAGAAGTGTCTCATGGTGCCTCAGTGAGCATCGTGCACTTCTGGGTGTGCAGGGAATGGTTACAAAGCGAAGAAAGACAATCTGTTTCATAATTTCCAATGTGTAAATGAATTTGGGTTTGTTCAGTTTATTTGTTTAGTTACATTGGGCACTTTTATAATGTTTTCAGACTCTCTTGCAGTATTTCTCACTTGTGGCTTTGCTGGCTTCCTGACAAGACAGTAAGTGAAGTAGAATTGCAGAATGATTTCTCTAGGCTTTCAATTGCATTTGAAATATCTAGCAGAGCCACCTGTTAGAACATCTAAAAAATAATTTAAGTCTAAATATTATAACAATTTAAGAGAGTACATACGGAGTGTTACAGTGAAGGAAAACAAAGCACATTAAAAAAAATAAAAAAAAAAATCCCAAGGACCGTAATGACAAGATACTTAAGGGAGGATAAAATGCTGGAAATATTTGTCCAGTCATAGTGAGCTGTAAACAACTCTTTTATCACTAATCCTTTCCTTCTTGCCCCTATTGCCCCTAAACGAGGAGACAGCAAAAGAAAAGGATACAGTAAAAATGACATGTGCAATCAAAGTGGTCTCTCCATAGGAAAACACTAAACTATGTGGATTCTTCTGAGCATTTGAGATTTAGCAGCATATTAAAGAGAGGGCTGAAGAAGATGGGCTAAAAAGATATTTTTTTTCTCACTGCATAAAAGCAAGGAGCCATTCAATTAAAACCAACAGAGTTAAAATTGATAACAGGAAATGTTTCTGTTTGAATGATTACTGTTTGCAGATTTTTGATACAATGTGCCATTGAAAGGTAGAGAATAAAGAGGCCAAGCTTAGACCAGGAATTTGGCAAAGTATGTCTTTTTTCCTTGTGGTTGCTTAGGGAATATTTGGCAATGTGGTTGGCAATGAACTTCTGAGGCTGGGGAAGGAAGAAGGAAAACTTCTGGCCCGTGGAGGATAAGGACTATGTGAACAACATGTTGGTGCTGAGAAAAAACGTTTTAGAAGCAAGGGCGAATTTCTCTCTCTGAAATTGTTTCTGTTGATGTTGCTCAATAGGGCATGGTAGGGGGTATCCCAGTGATCCTGGCACCCCTGGCTCCAGCACGGTGCTGGTGTGGTCCCAATCCCCCATCTTCTGGTGATCTCTAGGGAACAGATTTCTGGTCGTGGTGGTGATGTGTGTGTCTTCTGCTTGAACTGGGGAAGTGAAGAAAGGGGCAGTCTGCAGATGGCATCTGTGAGGGTGCATTTGCCATTCAGACTGTGAGGGTGCATTTGCCATTCAGACTGTATTTACCCTTTTCTCAGATTAGAACAGATAGTCCATTTTTTGTTAATGGTGTATCGTAGCCATCACTTTGGTTAATTTATTTGTAAATACAGTATTTATGTAGGAGAAGTTGTAGCTGCAGCAGGAATATAAAGGTTCAGAGGCAGAGTATGGCCAAACTTCTAAGCAATCCAATGACCAGGGATGGGCTTACTTTTTCTGTGGCCTCAGTTAGGTAACTTGGTGCTCTCTGTGCAGCAAATGTATTGCCCCAGTGTGGGAGCTGCAAGGTGGCAGGTTACTGGAGCCACCCCTGCTGCCTCGAACAAACCCCAGAATCTTTTCATCCAACTTTTTTTCCCCTTTTTTTATTTTTTTTTAATTTTTTTTTTAGTTCCACCGTTTTCCTACCTGGCTTGAGGAGGACTCTTCTCACTCTGGGTTAAATGCAAGTATGTCTCAGAGATACAGTATGGTCCCTGCACCATCCTTCCTGAATGGGCATTTCTGTTCAGCAACTGAGGCAATGTAATTATGAAAAAAATCATTTGACTTGGGGAAAGTAACTGGAAAAACCTACAGGAACAAGTCTGCTGCTAGGGAACAAAATCTCAAAGCAAACAAAATAAAAACAACAGTGGTGGGTCATCAAAATGAGAGGGGTGGAGAACAACAGGAAGGGAATAGGAAGCAGTAGGAGCCTTGGGAAGTGGATGTTGAGCTGGGCTCTGCCTTTATTTGCAATATCTTTGCTTCAGCAGGTTTCTGTGCATGTAGGCGAGCAAAGCAGAGAGCACTGGCAGCAGATGAGTTCTTTAAATGAGTCCCAACAGTGCGTTTCATAATGTTTTGTGCAAATGTGTGCACAAATGTGCACACATTGTGCCTAATAACTTCTGTTGCTGGCATGTGATGGACGTGGTGCTACCAGGGAGGCCTCGTCAAGATTTTATGCAAAGAGGGAAGAGCTAAAGTGAAAGCTCTCAGCTGATGAGAGCAAATTCAGACACATCTCAGTGAGCTTGTGCAAGGCATCAGGTGCTGCTCCAGCACAGGCATCCCTCCACCTCTGGTCAGATAGGGTTGGTATTTATTTCTTTTCTTGTCCCTCTGTAAATCTGTTCATCTTATGCTTCAACCCGAGTTCAGTGAGAAAGACAGACCCACCATGCCTTTGTGTACCTCAGATCTTCCTCTGTGAGGTTCAGAAAATTGTTTTTACTTCTCAGTGATGCTGCGAGGGAGAAAATAATTTCAGTTTGTTCATGAACACTTTATTACTGTGGCTGACTTCTGGAGATAGAGGTGAAAATGCTACGTTAAGCTGGTATATCTATACTGGCACACCTTGCTATTTGGGCAAAACTTATTATTGCCTCCTGAATGCATGGAATTACTGATATTTGTTATTAGTATAAAGGGAGGAGGAGAGGATTGTGCAGCTTTAGTTACACAGTAATACAGTTAGAGCATTTTTTTGTAGAACCTGAACACTGCAAGTGTGGTAAGGTTAGTCATAAAGTTATTTAAATAAGTTATTAAGTAACTGGCTCTGCAACCTCATCAAAATTAATGGTGTAAGAGTAGATTTCTTTGGAAGCAGACTGATTTCTTTGTCTGGATTCATCCAACAGTTGTATTTCTGTTGCCTGTTCTCGCCTTTTTCCTAGTGATCAGGAAAACAGTGGGATAAATATTTTTTTGTCAGCTGTGCAACAGTTAGGAGGTAAATATGCTGTGAGTTTTGGGAGCAGCCATCATGTAGTTAATGGTTATATATTTCTAAGGACACGGGTATATGCTGTAACCTTTGAGTGTGTGACTATAAAGGAGTAAATCTATAGGTTTCATCACCTTTTTTCTTACTGAGTTTTGATGATGATTTGACTACCTCTGCTTCACAGAATAAGGATGGTTGCTCAGCTGTTAACCACGGAACAGTCTTCCTGTGAGGATATTCCTGTGCACAGAGGTGTCAGTTTGACTGCTCTCTTACAATGCAGATACAGTAAGTGATTTTGTTGTACCCCTTTTCTTCCCAGCTGACTAAATGCTAAGGATGAGTTAACTCAAAGTTGAGTCCACCAATAGGTTTTCAAAATCTGTAGCTGATCCAGCTATCCATTTTTGTCCTCGTTTTCATTCAATTGCCTTCTTTATGAGGAAAACTATTCTATAGCATCAGCTTTCACTGACTGGGTTAATGTAAGGGCGTGTTTTGGGGTCCCAGCTGGGATTCCTTGTATCCGGTGTGCCTCTTCAGCCTCAGCCACCTACTTTGTGAAGCTGTTTTTCTTGTGTGCTTGTCCATTAACATGTCCTGTAAGAATCCACGTAGCCTTGGAAATAGCCAACAAAACCCTACATAGCCTAGAAAAGTGTCAGCAGAAATGTCAGTGCCAGCTTTGCCAGCAGGTTTCGTGTGCTCGCTATGTCACGATTTAACTCCCATCAGTAAGTTTTGTACAGAAACAGTTTTAAATTGGATAAATCTCAAGTTTTCACAAATCAGGACTTGGCAGAAGAAGAAATATAACGTGTCTTCTTTGCAATCATGAAGTAGTGGGCAGACATTGCATTTTTGTGTAGGAATAAATACTTGTTCTGGCTGTTTTCCTCCTAAATAATCAAACCTACCCACCAGATTGTATTTGAAAGCACTTACTAATGTGACATGCTCCGTTTTAACTGTTTAGAAAAATGACTGAAAGTTTTAAGATGAGACAACATGAATCATAGTCTCCAGCGGCTGTTCACTTCTGTGATTGACTTGCTTTCTTCCTACGTTCCTTTTAGTCACCCTGGGAATCGCTGAAGCTGTTCTGTGCAGGAGGCATTGCTGAGATTCCCCTCGCAGCAATGGACTTGGATAAACCATCCGTGTGGGGATCCCTGAAACAGAAAACTAGACCATTCCTGCAAAACCTGAGCGTGAGGAAGACGAAGAAGAGGTCTAGCAAAATGATGAAGAGGACAGTGCACTCCTTGGACCGATGTCTGAGTGTGTCGGTGCCTGACATGCTGGAGGTGGAGACTCTTACGGAGGAAGAAACGACTTATTCAAGTACTCAGGTGCTGTCGAGCAGCTCCCCCAAGAGCTTTTCCAGGTCTGTGATGTCCCTGAAAAGCAGAAGCGCTTCAGCGAGGGCAGTGGGAGAGGACTGGCCGTGGCTGTCGCAGCAGGTGACACGGACAGAGGTGATTGTCACCCCCCCAGACTCGCAGGCTGCAGGCAGCCCCGTGTCCGAGGGCAAGAGGAAAGCCAGCGACGACCTCTTTGAGCTGCTGCAGAGCTCCCGCCTGAGCGCTGCTCTGACGGACGAGGGGGCAGAGGTAGGTGCTTGAGCATCACCCAGGCTCAGTGGCCACCTCGGGCTCGTTGTGCTCCTCCTTAATTTTCTGGGTTATAAAGGGGTGGAAGATCCAACCAAGGCCAGGTTGGACAGGGCTCTGAGCGACCTGGTCTAGTGGAAGGTATCCCTGCCCATGGCAGGGAATTGGAACGATATGACCTTTAAGGTTCTTTCTGTGATTCTGTGAGGAGGGGGCTCTATTCAAGGAATGAATGGGGAATACAAATAAGCATAAACTTTACATGATATACACATTATTCAAGACTAATTCAGCTATTCTTTCTGTCAGTCTGGAGCTGCAAAATAACCCTGCTCCATTTTTTAATTTTTCTATTATTATTTTTTTATTTTATTATTTTTTAATGGCACTTTAGATTTTTCAGATTTATTGGAGTTGCTTGCTTAAATCAAAAGTTGTTGCAGCCCTTTGAGCTCTGAAATGCAGTGCATTTGCTTTTTAGTTACTAGAGTTTACCAGGATTGCTGTAGAGCGAAATCAACTTACCATTCACCCACTCAAGATCCAGATGAAGGTAGTGGGTGAAAGATGAGTGAGCAAAGTGAACTCTGCCTGTCTCTGGAATTAACCAAAACAAGCATGTGATGGAGAACAGAACATGTAGCACCATACTCAAGACTGTCCTTTGGGTTTTCATCGTGATGATTTAGAGGAGGTGCAAAACCAGAATGCTCCCTCTACGTTTCCCATCTTGTTCCCCTTATCCTTCCCTCCCATTTCTGTGGTCAGTATTTATGTGGCTGGACATAATTTCCCATGCACGGGAGGATCAGAGACCAATGTGCTCCAAAACTGACATGAAACTAATTCCTGCTTGGCCTGAGCAAATTGAGAATCCTGTGGAGTTGCACGATGGTGTCATAAGAGACAGCAGGTGAAGATTGGGCTGCATGAAACACTTCAGAAAAAATCTACTTTATTTGTATTTTGTGGAAGTATGTGTCCTGCTGTTGAGTTCTCACTGGGAAGGTTAGATTTTGAACTTTTTGCAGCCTTTTCCCCATTATCTAATTGTTGCAGTTATGGCTGGTTTCCTTAGTCATTCGATATTCAAAAATGGCAACCAGGCATTTTGTTTTAAACTCCTCCTGGGAATGGTGATTTCACAGGTTAATTATTTTTAACAGGTTAATTATTTTTTAACTGCACCGTTTCAAAATGATGGTTAGTGCTGCTGTGGGGAAAATGGTCCTTTCTGATACAAACTGCTTGTTCTGCACCTCGAAGGCCTGTGTATTCCTACCAAATCAGTGTTGACTCCTAGTCTGTTGTGATGCAAAGTGTCAGGCCGGTAGTTACTGACCATCACTTGCAGTTTAGTGTTGCTAAATTGTTCACACATTGGCTTCATCTTAGTGGAGTGTACCATTATTCAGAGGGCTCCATAAAAAAAATGATTGGAATAGTATATTGCCTTGTTTCTGTGCTCAAACTTTACTCTAAACTTGTAGCACCTCAATCAGTATATGGCAAATATATGGACTCTCATTATTGTGGGAGTTCTTCCATGTTGTTTTAATGGCAGCAGCAGTTTTTTCCTGCTGTTGTAGACCAGAAATCCTAATCTAGAATTAACCACAGCACACCAAAGTTAATACTATATCCTGATTTGATTTTGGGCAAATGAAGTGTTTAAGGAGAATGAAGTACCTGTGTAGTGATGGAATAACTTCAAGTCAAGTTTCCTCCAGATGTACAATCTGAGTCTGGCTTATTTTCTGCAGCATTCATATCTTTCCCTAAATGTATGTACTAGTGTGTGTAAATCATTTAGTATTTACTTTTATGGCAAATCATCTCACTATGGGAATATCCATCCTTCCTATAATCTGCCTCCAGTACAATTTTTAAAGGCAGAAATATCTTTTTCCTCAAAAATACATAGGAGAGAATGAAGCAAAGGAAAGTAGAAATGGATAAGGAATATTGAACAAATTTAATTATATTGAATCTGATTCAGTAGCAGAAGGTGTCGCTGCCCATGGCAGGGAGGTTGGAACTAGGTAGTCTTTAAGGTCCCTTCCAACCCAAAGAATTCTATGATTCTATGAAAACCTCAATATTCAGCTTCTCTTGTACGTGAATGAACAGCTACAGGATTTGTGCTCTGTGTGTCTTGGATGGGAACAGTTTGTTACAGAGGTTGTTAGTCTCTGAATACTGGGTGGGGTTGCTGTGAGGAGCAACACGTGAGTTCAGAGAACAAGCATTGTTCTTTTGCGAGCATCACTCACTGTTCGGGGAGGTAAATCAGAAGGAAGGCAGATCCCTGGAACAAAACAAACTAAAAAAAGCAAAAATGTAGGTTGAGCTTTCTTCCCCCTGAATCGCTTGTCGCATGCCGCCTACTCATTTCCTGGTTGTCTTTGGCCACCCGATGTCGTGAGATGCTTTCGGAGCCTCCTGCATGATCGTCAGTGTGGGCTTGTGGTTTTCCCATCGCTCTGAACCCTCCGTGCAGAGCTGCTGGCGCTCAGCACGTGCCATCCTCAGCAAAGGCTCTTGCCACAGGAACCGTCTTTGACATTTGTCGAGAGATTTACTTTCTGTTCTCCATTGCAGCCCAACCAGGCGAATCTGAGGGGTGAAGAGGCAAGTGAATTTGCATTGAATCTCCCCTCCCTGCCTGGTTCAGGTTGTAAAGGGTTCCAGTAATAACACTTTTTTTTTGTCCGTGCCCATGTGTCATTGCTGGGGTGTTCTGACACCACTTGGTCTTCTTGCTAGCGCTTTGCAGTGAGTCACTGGCAACCCCCAGCCTTGTCCTGTTGCTGATGCACTCAGTGCCCTTGTATTATTAATCATTCTGCAGAAAACGAGGAGACAGAGGTTCCTCTTGCCAAGAGGAACTTTTGATTTATTTAAATATATATGTGTTCATACACACACTCTTGCTTGCTTTGTTTTCACGCAGATATGTTTGGGACTATGGCCCCCTTGGATGTGTCGACTTTTGTTTAAAGTTGAGAAATGTCACTGTAGTTTGATAAAAATCAGGATTTCAGGACCAGATTTTCACCAAGACGTTTATCTGTATTCAGTGATCTCGTTGCAATTAGCTACCTAGTATAATAGTAATTTATGTTATGAGGAGCTAAAATGAAAAAACTAAGCTTTTTTACTTAAGATTATAATTGCTGTTCAAGATCTGTAGGTGTAATGCCAGTAAACAAAAAGTTGAAAAAAGACAAAATCGTAACTTTGAGAGTAATTTTTTTATTATAAATTATATCAAGCTACCCAAGACAGTACTTTTTAAATTATTATAATTTCCATGCACTTCTTTGATCCTGTGTTTGTGCCATGTAAAGCAAGCTGTAAAGAGAAACCATTATGAGTGCCAATGATGGTGCCTGAAGGAGATTCTTGTGAAGCCAGAGACTCCAAGAAACACTAAGTTTAATGCACACAAGTGAGATTTTATGCATACTAGTCAGAAAATTCAAAGTTAGGGTTCCCCTAGCAGCTGTAACTCAGCTCTGTTGTGTGAGAAAATTCTTCTGCTGCTCTTTATGATGATAATTTTTTCCAGTTTTAATGTGTTTTTGCAAGGTGGCCAAGTTACGATTACTGTGGGAACCATAATGTTAAATTTTGTCTGTCATGCAAGGGAAATTTTACTTGCAATGCTGAATTACTCTACTTCCTGATATGTAATATATGTATTTGGGGGGAGGAGGAGGTGAGGAATTACACAAAGGATATTTATATTTATTTCAGCGTGTCAATATATCTAAGATTTATGTACTTTGGTGCAGGAACTGGTTCTTTTTTTAATGTCTCTATAGTGCTCCACACAATGCCTCTCTCATCTGAGAGGTTTGGATGTTACCACACTGCACATAATAACATTTTCACATGAGGATCGAATTCCACCTTGTGTGCATTTTTGTAGACTGAGGTTATTCATTGCATAAATCTTTGTATTTGAGTGGGCTGTGAGTGCCCTGCATTAGACCAAAAGAGTTGCCCAGGCATGGGCAACTCTTAAACTTAAATGATCATAGGCTGTTCTAGCATTCAAAATAGCATCAGAGGTGTCTTGACTGATGAATCCCTTCTGTGTATCCAGTCTAGATGTCGTGCCAGTGTAGCCTCAAGTTTTTTGATGAGTCAGTATTTAGGAAGAAATGTTTGACTTTCTCTCCTGTGCTGGGCACTGGATAAAAAACCTTTGGATCTTCCACTTACTGCAGAAAGCAGGGGGAAGTACATGTCCAATGTATTTTTTTTTCTCTTTTGTCATGGTTTAACACTACAGGCAGCTAAATATGACATAACTTCTTGCTTACTCCCCCCTCAGTGTGAGACATAATCCTCCATCCCAGAGTGTACTGGGGAGAGAATCAGGGAAAATGAAGATTAAATTGGTGGGTTGAGATAAAGACAGGAAAGGAAGAGAGAATAATTTAAAAGAATGACACAACAATTAAAATATTCAAAACAGTGTAGTTGCTTATCACCTGCTGACTGATCCCCAGCCAGTTCCTGAGCAGTGGTCCCTGTCCAGCAACAACTAAAACATCTGCATGTTATCAACACTGTTCTCATTCTAAATCTAAAACACAATAGTGTACGAACTACTAGGAGGAAAATTAACTATTCCAGCCAAAACCAGGACACCTTTCCCTTTGACCATTTCTTTTTAACTTTTCCCCTGAACATTTTTTATTTCAAAAAAACCGAAACAAACAAAACCAAACACACGGACACACAAAAAAACCCCAAACAAAACCACACACACACAAAACCAAAACAAAACACCCCACCCAACCAAGCAAAAAAATCCTTTTCATGGAACTTACCTTTGGGATGATGAAGGAGAAATTGTAGTTAAGTGAGAGTAGCCTATCACCAGATGCAATAACCTTCAGGCATCAGGAGAGTTTGTGGTGAGGACCTTCAGCACTTGCTACTGGGGAGGAGAAGTTATTCCAATAGCTGGAAGGAGGTACTTATTGTCTTGGATTAAACTCAAGAGACTAAGTGCTGTTACTGCAAAACAGGAAAAAGAAATGTATGTTTAAATTGTTGAGAGAAGGTTCTATAAGCAGAAATAAAAGAATTTCACGCATTACATGTATGAGTAATTTCTTGACTCCCACTAGCAGTATTTTATTTTCCTGTATTACTGTTGTCTAATTCATTGTATCTTTTGTTTTATAGTACCCATGTGGAGAAATGGATTTTGACTCTTCCCTATCATCTCAAAATTTTGATGATCAAGTGGTAAGTCGTGTTGTTTTAAAGCATTTGGAAACTTGATCAGAAGCACAATTTATTTTAGCTTCAGATTTTCTGCTTCTTATATATTTAAAAACCCAGCAAGTGAAGAAGCCATCTGTAGATTTGTCCAATGTGGTTTTTTTTTTTGTTGGTTTGTGAGGGTTTTGTTTGTTTAGTGGTAGTTTTGTTTTTTGTTGTTGTTTGGTTTTTGAGTCCTTCACAGCAGTTGCTGATGTTTTAAAATTGACCCAAACATTCTGGATTATATAATATCTACATTGTACTGGTAACTGATGAAAGCATCAGCATAAAGACTCATCTAACAGCCTAGGAACAAATTGGATTAGAGTAAACACAGCAAACACAGCTGTAGGGTTTGACAGACAACAAAACCAGTTTTAGGGCAGTGTGAAAAGGCCTTGGCAGTTTTGAAATGTTATTCTTGTATAAAGTACGTTTGCCTATTCTGGATGAACTTCTCTGCCTTTGGCCTCTTGATAACCTCTCAAGTGCTGTCCAGAAGCTGTTTTCACTGAAGGTACCTGCTGGATGATGCTGAGGTGTGCAACCCTGGCAGCATCTCAGATGAACAAGAATCCTCTTGAGTTTGCTTCTGCAAAACCTCACAACTAGTATTGCCTGCTGCTGGGAATCTCTCTTTTAGAACTGTGTGGAGGTGCTGTTCTCTCATCTCAGTGGCTGTGTGAGATATGCACTTCCTTGTGAGTTTATCAGATGAGCACAAATGACTCGATGAACCTCTTCCAACTTGAGATATTCTACGAATGCACAAGAAACAACTAGGAAAAAAACATGCAGTGAGCTGATAAGATTTGGAAAAACTGTGCAGGCATCTGTGGTTGTTAATATCGCCATGCGTTTTCGGCTATAACCCTCCTTGTGTTACCCCTTGTTTTGTTGAGCATACCCTGTGCTGATACTTAGCTACTTGCGTAGTGAAATAAAGCCTGGGAGAGAAATCTTTTATCTTTTTCCTTTTTTTTTTTTTTTCTCTTTTCTGTAAGATTGCCCTGAGGAAAACACCTGCCTCTTTCATGGTCTGCTTTAGGAGCTGCGTGTGGGTGACTGATGTCTTTGTTCTCCTTAGGCTCTGGAGGAAGCAAACGACTGCTTGAGTGACCTGCCCAGCCCCTTTGCCTACCTGCTGACCATCCACCTGAAGGAAGGCCGGAACCTGGTTATCAGAGATCGCTGTGGTGAGCCCCACCTTTCAGCTGTTTTCCTTTGATATTCACACAGCTCTCCTTTCACTGATTTCAGATTGGCAGCACATTGGCTTCTTTTCTTATCTCCAGTGCAACAAATCATTGACTTGTATGTCTTGTCCTGGTCAGAGCAGTAAGAGATTGGGTTTATCCACTGTAGATACACAGGGGAGGGAGCTGCCCTCTCCTTGCTGCTCCTCCTGCCTGATGGTGCAGCTTTAAAGCACCTTCTTGGCTACTCCAGGCACTTTTACCTATTCACTGAAAGAAAGTCTATTTGAGCTTAAAAAAAAAAAAAACCAAAACAAAACAAAAAACCCCAGAGAATATTTAGAGATTTATTAAATGATAGAACTGCTCTAGGAGTGCTTTTGGAGTTATCTGCAAAGATGTTAATAAAAGGGAAACCATAGGAGCAGGGCTGCAAGCCAACAATCCTCTCTCTAATCTAGGATGTGACTGAATGATGATGACATTCTAAAAACCCCAAACCCAAAATCGAGCCCCAAATGACGTATCAAATAAATTAAAAAAGATTTGGGGAATTCCTGGAAAAATTATGTGAAAGTGCCTGCTGTTAGCCTGGCTCTTCTTCAGGCTGTTGCAACAGGGAGTGAAAGTGCTTTTAAGCAGCCAGTTGGTAGTTTCTCTGCTTGCTGTGGAGGGAAGAACTGTCCTGGCAGAGGTTCTGCAGGGGCTCTCTAAACCTGTCAGAGAGCTCTTTCATATGTTCAGTCTTTATTTAAGTTTTTTTTTTTTTTCTGCGTGTGGAAACAGTTCTGATACTTCTGTGTTGCAAAATGTCTGAGCAGTTTCTTTTGAGATGAAGCCATAGGGTTTATTCTTGCAGTTTTAAAGAAAATAAGCTTGCACAGTCTCAAGTCCTGTGAAGGTTTGCACCTGAAGGGACCTGTCTGATTTAGAAACTCACATGGGCTGCTTGTTGGGATTTTTATTGTCCTCTATGTCAGTTAACTTTTTCCATGATGGTTTTTCATGTCTTCACAAAACTGTAACTTTTGGCCAAGTTTTTTGCCTTGTTTTTCCTCCCATTTTTTGGAAGGAGTGAGTGAGTACTTAGATTAAGATCTTTCCTGGTTATACAGAATTCCCTAACAGTGTAGCAGTTCATCAGATTTACTAGCAAGCTGCACAAGCCAGGACACATCCAACTGCTCATATGAAAAAGATGCTAGAAATGAGCAATTCCAGCTGAGTAATATTTCTAGAGAAGACAGAGCATACTTTGCTCTAGGCTGTGTTTCGTTGTGTAAGAAAGCTAATACTTGTCTCAGTGCAGCACTGGACAACACAGTGAAACAGCATAAGGGGAAAAAAACCATTTTGATGAGTCTGTTTTGTGGCAAATGACCGCTCATTTAGTAAACAGAGTGGGTGAGGTGATACATAATTCAATAAAACTCCTGCTTTTTATTATACAGGTAGTGGAAGGGGAGAAAATAGTGACTTGATTATTCTTCAGTCACCACTGTGCTGCAGTGCTGGCTCCTCAACACTGCTGATATGGTGATGCATGTCTTTATAGGTCTCTGCTTTTGTACTGGTAATGTGGCATCTTTGCATGACACTCAGGCTTGATTTACAACCACTGTGCTTTTTCAATATGCTTTTAAATGTGGGAAGTTGTCAACTTTGCTTATCTCTCCAAAGTGAGAAATCCTCAGGCCTTGTGGGCTGAAAGGGTGTGACTTCCCTCTCCTGTCCCCACCCTGATGCTGGATACAGCCACCGAGCTGGGGTATCAGTGTACTCTGAATAATCTGAATATAGGAACATGTTGTCCATAGCCACCATGTCCTGTGAATCAGATTGTGGCTTGGGCTGAAGGCCAAATCATCCTCTTCCACATTTTGGGAACACCAAACCCAGCAATGCTGCCTGACACAGCTGGGAGCGGGCTCAGACCCTCTTCCCCACAGTTTTCCTTATGCAAAGAGGTGCCAGGGCTCTCCAGTGGGTAAAGCTTTGATGATCCTTGTGCATTTCTTCTGACTCAGGATGTTCTATGATTCTGTGAAAGCTGAGTTGCTGGTACTATGTTTTAAACCCTCCTCTGGTCACCTTTGTGTGTGCAACTTCAAAAATGCTTTGGTTAGGTGGGAGTGGTGGCAGAGAGTTGGAGTTTCTAGGCAGGAGTAGAAATGTCCTGGATTTTTCAAATAAATTGTTCATACTTTGCCAACCAACTCCAAATACTATGTGGAGTATTCTATACATTAAATAACAAAATATTCACGTGTAAACCACAAACTGAGCGAAGAGTTTATGCCAGCATCTCTAGCCTAAATCAGATTTAATGTAAGTCTTGTAATTTTCCTGAATTTTAATATTCAGTTATTATGTTATCAGCAGTTTCTCTGGGGGAAAAAGTCTCAGAGCAGTCATCAAGCCCTTTTTAGAAGTTCTTTACTGACAGATAAAAAAATGGCATTTAAGTGTGTTGTCCTGCGTTCTTCTCATGTTTGCACTTTTCCCCTTAATTTTATCTTGCAACAGTTTAAATAGCTCTGAAGGGAAGCAGCCCCACAGCACGGGTGGGTGATGCCCTCTCCTGGCAGATGAGTAAAGTCTCTTGCACTGGTGACTATTTTTGCCTGTTTTATCCCAATGCCAGAGGTATTTGTCTGAATGTGTATATAAAAATAAATCTAAGGTGTGTGCGACCAAGGAGAAATATTTCTGCCCTTGGAAACAGCTGCTGCTGAAAAATCCTGTCTCTCCTCAGCAAATGTACAGGATTCTCCCTGAATTTACTCATTATATGCTTAACAGTTATTAATTAGGAATTAAGTTTGGCTCAGTGAAGGGGATCAGGAGTTCTGCTGATAACTGCAGGCTGTAAGACCAACATGTGGCTTCACTTTTTTCCAACTTTCCAGGTATTTTCCTGACTTTTTGACTTGCTGCGTTCTGCTCTTTCCAGGATATGTTCCCTTTGGTGTGATTTAAATTCCTCCTTCCTTTTACCAGATTTTTATTGCTTTTACCCCTCCCTTCATAGTGTTAATCCTGTTAACACTGCTCTGTCCTGTTTTTCTCTTCACCTTTTGCCTCTTGAGTTGCTTTTTGTCTGTCTGTTCTTTCTGGTCCCTGACTTTCTGCAGCTCCTCTCCTTGTACCCGCTCTTTATAGAGAGGATCTGTCAGCCCAGGAGCCTGGCTCAGCTGCATATGTTCCCTGGTGCTTCCTCTAAAATACATAAGCAATGCAGGAAAAAAAAATATTTTCAGTGTTTTCTTCCCCTATTTTATCTATTTTTTGAAGTGTAAATGAAAGAAAAAACTTCCATACAGCAACACCCAATATGTACCCCAGCAAAGGAAGCCAAGTGCTGTTAGAGCAGGATCTTGGTTCTGGTGGAAAGTGGAGAAGCTCTGAAAAATCCCTCTTTAGCTCAAAATTGCAGTGGGGGGGCAGGATGCAGGATGAGAGAGGTGTTACCTGCTGATCTTCAGCTTGCTTGGAGTCTGATTTACTTGCTTACAGTCTAACCCAGTCATACATTAGAAACTGCCTAAGCAGATGGTAAGATGTGCTTGGCATCTTACCTGTGTGTACCTTTGGTACCTTACATTAGACAGCACATGGGTCCTGTATTTAAAATTCTTGTAATTGATGACCCAAACACTGAAGGTCACAGTTCTCAGTGTGTATATACACAGCACGAAAAACTTGATTTTTATGCACTTTTTATAGTATTATTGTTACTAGATGACATGATGCATTTCAGTGATAGTGAGGAGTTTGTGTCTATGTAGTTTTAATACTGTAAGTAATAAGAAAAGAGGAATGTATTTTATTGATTAAAAATCTGTTGAGCACAGCAGCAGTTCTGCAGAACAGAGAGGTAACTATCTCATTTGGCTTAAAAAAAAAAAAAATCACTGGTGCTGTCAGTGTTGCTGTCTTGTTACACCCTTAGTGGTTTTATGACCTTGTTGACCCTGTTTTTGTGAAGCTCCCAACTTCCTGCTTTGAACTAGGAGAGGCTGGAGCCCATTTCTACCTGCTGGTTCACTTTCACAGGGCAGGGTGATGCCTCATGATCATTTGAGTCAGTCTAATGAAATCTGAAAGGTCCTGCTCCCTTTTGGCTCTGAGGTTCTCTGACTGTGCACATTTGCTGCCTGTACCAGTCACCTTTGCCCAACAGTGATGCTGTGACAGGGAGCAGCAACGTGATGCCACAGCTGTAAGGAAATGTTGCCTTCCCTTACACCCTTTGCCGCTGTTAAGAGTAAACAGAAACTGGGTTTTGAGTGCCTGTGCAGGTGAGAAGCCCCTCTCATTTCCAAATCCTGTACTTTCAAAGTCTGAGTATATTTTTCATCTGTTAAACAGTGTGGTTACATGAAGTACACTTCTTGGATGTGATGTCAGCTGGTGAGTGGCTGTGGTTGGTGTCTTTTTTCTTTTTTCCCCTCCTTTAAGCGCCTTGTTCCAGCCTGAACTTTGTGTGTGTCTCTTTTCCACATGGTTTTGTGTTTTGTAGGTTTTTTCACAAGACCTTTGTGCCCCGTTTCTATTTCTTTCTTTAAAGTTTCATTTGTTTCCTGTTCCTGCACTTTGATTTTCTTCTCATTTCTTTCCCAAGGCAGCTGAACATGTGAAGGGAGCAAGATGGGATGCAGTAGTACAGAGGATGCCATTGTCTAGATAGGTGCACCCGGCTTTCCATATCCAGAGCATGTCATCATGTGCTCTCATGTCTAACAGCCCCCACTGCCAGAGGGTCCCAGTGGGCTCCTGGAGCTGGCAGGGAGGCTGTGCTGCATGGGCAGCTCTGGAATCACTGAGAGCTGTGCTAGAGCTCAGCCTCCCAAGGACAAAATAAAATGAAAGAAAGGGCTTAGGATAACACACTTTTAACTTCCAGCAGTAACGAATCTGCAGTAGCCCAGCACTCACAACTCTGGGCTGTCCAGGAACTGGACTTCTATGATCCTTGTGGGTCCCTTCCAGCTCAGGAT